CGTGTACACCCTTGTGCAACTGAGCACAGATGACTCACAGAACATGAAAAGATGCTGCCATCTGTACAGAGCTGAGCAAGGTGGGCCTAGGGAACAGTCTGAAAAAATGGCATTTAAGTGGCAAAGGAAAGGAAGGATGTATAATGGGTGCATTAGTCATGTTTTATAAAATGGATTGATTTGACAGGCCCTCATAAATCTACTTGCCAAGGGGCAATAAATTCAGTAATTCATTTAATATGAATAGCCACAAGGGCTGCAGGCATAGACACTCCAATTCCAAAGTTTACATTTTCAGAATTACTGCAAGAAGTTTAGGCTCCAAGCTGCAGCCAGTGCCCTTCAATGTATTCGTGTTTATAGTAAGTCTTCTTCAGGTTTCTGTTTATAGCAAATCAGAGATTACAAGAGAACTTATACACTGCATAGAAATAAAAGTATGGGAAACACACTATTAAGATTGCAAAGTCAACCACTCTCTAAAGTTAGGGAAAGCCAGAAATGCAGGGCACTGACTGATGTGGGGGGGAAGCACTTTACCGGAAGCAGCACGTTAATTCAACCCAGCTCTGCAGCATCTGTACAGATCAGGAGCTTCAGCAGGGATTTTTGGTGTTTTTATCTAAAGCTGATTCAATCAGCTACTAGATAGAAGCACCAGAAAGTAAGCACCTAATCTATATAGACATTGGGCAAGCAGGATCTAACTAATGCGATGCCTCTTCTAGGCACAAGCTGCGCTTGGTACATGGGCGTGCTGAGCTTAAAGCGCCATTTGTTTGTTTTTTCCTACGTCTGTAAGCAGCCGAAGTTGCCTGGGCGACCTTAATTTGTGCCTTTCATGTGTGTACATGATGAAGTCTTCAATTACACAATGAATTACTATCTTCCACAGAGCCCTGCCCATGGGACGGACATCGCTGACTGGATAAGTAACTATTCAATACCTTATTTTCTTCTTGTTAAGCAGTCTCCTAGGCCTTATTCAAGCCCTACCCTGAAAGCAGAGTTATGAAGATTTTCTCCTAGGATTTTACGACATGTACCACTACCATCTCCGAGTACTTCATAAATGCTGGCTAACTTATTTTCATAACACCACTGTGAGGCGAGAGGCAGGCACTCTTGCCATTTTGCAAACTAAGAAATGAGGCAGAGAGAGACTAAGCACATATGAATATTGGATCTCCAATCTGAAATGCTGAAGATTTGAATTTTAAGGACAGTAACATTATATATCATGTCATATGGTCAAAGCACAGCTTCTACTAGCCTCAGCTACACACCTCACTATGTTCACTACCTCTGCAAATCAAGCCCCAGGATATCATACTGGACACCCAGAAAATGACACACACACCAGCAGTGACCACCTGTGACCAGCCCATATCACAGGGAGTGCTGTGGCTGACAAGGGTGGAATCCAACTCCCCGGGGCAGCACTCTCAGCCCTGAACCATGAATTTTCCTTTCTCTCCTTCCAATCCTCCACCTCATTTACTCCACCCCTTCCAATTACTATAGCCAATGATGAAGGACTCCCACAGATGATGGGCTCACTACACAATCCTGATTAAAGCAGGCCTGTGCTGTGCAGGGGATGAGACAGGCAGCCTCTAGAAAAAAAAAAATGTATGCAAGCATGTAACTGGAAACTGCATTAAGAGGGCCAAATTAGGGTTGCACAGGCAATCCTTCTTTTGGTATTTCCTATCTTTTGAACATTCAGTTTTGCTATCTTAATAACACTCTTTTAAAGGTAGCTTTTGGTGTGAAATTTTCACAGTTGATTTAAAAAAAAAAGTAAATAGAAAGGACATGACAAGGTATCAGATACTCACATGGGTCATCAGCAGAGCTGAACCCTCTGATCTACTACAACTAACTGACAGACCAGCACTAGAAGAGGTTGGGACCTTTCCCCACGGGTTTCACTGAGACTGCTGAGACTCTGGGGTGGTGGATTCTGGAGACAACGTGTTCTAATGAGCCTGGCCTTCTGCTCCTGCTAAGCTAGATCCCTTTAAGTCTTCTTCAGCATGATCCTGTCCAGTCCTTACCCCTTTCCTGGCTCCTCGTCCCTGTTCCATCCCCCACAACCTGTGAGGCCCAATCTCAGCTCTTCAGTCAATCCTAGTCCTTTTGCCCAGCCAGTGCTCTCTTCTACCCCCTCTTCCCCACTTTTTGCCACCAGGCACCCACCCACGTTCCCATTCCCAGGGGTTCCCAATCATCCTCTCTTCAGGCTTCTCAACTTCACTGTCTTCACCTCCTTGCACCAGCCTCTTTGCCAAGCCACTTCCAGTTCTCCCCCTCCATGCTCCAACCCCTCATCTAATCTTAGCTCCTCCACCCCGCCGCCCCCCCCCGGCTCGCTCTCCCTTTCGTTTTCCCCTCCTCATTTCCCAGTTCAAATCTTACCCTCGAAGTCCCTTTCTCCACCCCTTGCGAGCCTCCAGTAGCAGCCTGTGCCTGCAGGCTGCCTGTCTCACTGAACTCTTCAATCCTACCTTGCAAAACCCTACATCCCTTCTGCATTTGTCGCTGGTGGCTCCCTCCTCCATACTGCCTGATCAGCAGTAAGAGAGGTCACTTGAGTTCACAGGAAAAACAGACCCCGCACCCAGTTCTGGTGCCTGGTTCTATTGCAAACTGGAGCTGCCATTACAAGGAAATTTCAGCTTCATCCCTGAAGTCCTGGACTGGAGCCTGTTCAGGTTTTCAGTGGAGATGGTTCCTGTTCAATCCAATCTGCATTAGGAACTGAGAGGGGCTGAAGCATGCTCTGCAAGTACAGAGTATCTGGAGATGTTATCCATTAACCTCTCTCAAGCCTCCAGTGAGCTTGGCCAAACTGCAACAGGACAAAGGCTTAGTAGAAAGTCACAGACAGTAGGGCTGTGCGAAATTTCGGCAGCTGTTTTGTTTCGGAGGTGTTTCAGGCTGTTTTGGCACCCAAAACACCAAATCCAAATCGAAATGGAAGGATCGGAAACATCTCCGAAATGAAACAAGGCATCTGAAATGTTTTGGAAATATTTTGGAAAATTTCAGCGTTTTGGAGCCAGGCTTGCAGGAAAACAGCTATATGCTGTGCCCTGCCGTGTGACTCAGCTCCACAGGGAGCAGAGGTCTGTGCCGAGGGTCTCCTCGCCACCGCTGCTTGCCCTGGCGACGAGGGGCTGCACAGGGCAGGCAGCAGCAGGGAGGAGACCCAGCGTGGATCTCTGCCCCCTGCAGATCCAGGTCATGCGGCAGTGCTGGTCCCTGCCACACAACCTGGCTCCACAGGGAGCAGAGATCCCTGTGGGCTGTACGAGATGGGCAGCAGTGGGGAGGAGACCCTGGCATGGATCTCTGCTCTCTGCGGAGCCAGACTGCATGGCAGGAAACGGTAGGCTTGCTTGCTGCTCTGCACTGCTTCCCTGCCCTGTGACCCGGCGTAACAGGGATCAGAGATCTGCGTGGGGGTCTCGTGTTCATGGAGAGTAGCGGCCCTCCTCCTCCTCCCCCCCCAGACAAGCCACCCACAGCCCCATTCTGCTCCCCACTGGGGCCCCTGCCCAGCTGGGTAGGGCTGTGCAAAGCTTCCGGTGCAGCCCTTTGAAACAGATTTGGTCAAAACAAAACAGGACAGTGATCCGAAACACCAGAACAAATCACCGTCCTCCAAAACGGCCGAATCTGAAACCGAATCCAAACACAGCTGTTTTGCACAGCCTTAACAGATAGCTTGGAAAGAGTCCAGCAGTCAGCAGTAAAAATGATTAGAGGCCTGAGAAGCAAGATTTAGGAGGAAGGGACTAGAAGTCTTTAATCTGGAGAAGATGAGACCTAGTGGGGATTTGATAGAAGTCTTCAAATACCTGAAGGGTGATTATAAAGAGGATGGAGCTAGACTTTTCTCTGAAGCTGTAAGGGACAGGACTAGGAGCAATGATCCCAAACTGCAGCAGGAGAAATTTAAATTGGAGATTAGGAGGAACTTTCTGATCATGAAGGTGACCAAGCATTCGAACAGGCTAGCTAGAGAAATTATGGAATCTCTATCCCCCAAAATTTCCAAGAGCAGGTTAGACTTGACTGCATGGTTTAGTCAGGGATGATCGTGCCTTGAGCAGGGGGCTGGACTAGATGATCTCACGAGGTCCCTTCCAGCCCCACTTTCCTCTGAACCTATGAACTTTGTCAAATTTGCATGGATTTTTGCAGGGAGTGGAAAAGGCATATCCCTGACAGAAAGGACACTCTTCTTCCAACTATCAATAGCCACAACATGGCAGGTGTTAGAATTTTCCAAAAAAGTTCAGCATATAGTAATAGTCGAACAGTTTTTTCTAGCCATATTCTCAGAAATTCCTGAACCTTGCTGACTAACATTTTCCACATAAAACCAGCCTATAGCAGACACCCACCATATAAAATTTGAGCCCAACCAGTCAAACGTTGGCAAAGCAACTGAAAACAGGGGGTTTTTGAAAATGGAAATTTTTGGAAAACCTTAAGAGTAGGCAGTATTCACAGCCCCACCTATAATTAACCAATCGTATAGACTCCATTTCAGCAAGGCATTTAGACATGTGTCTAACCTTACGCATGAAAAGTAGTTCTGGGATGGGAAAAAAGAGGATGAAGATAAAGTAACAATGATGTTATAGCAAAGTCTAGCAGGGTGCACGTTTTGTAATAGCATTCATGTGTCCAGTACCTGACGTCCCTCAAGGAGCAGCAATGCTTGGAAATAAAACAAATGTGCCCACATATTCTGTGCCAGCAACAATCTGCAGGGGCAAATTTTAGAAACCACCCATTTGAGTAACCATCGGAGAACATAAAAGTCAATTAACTAGGAATATTTGCATACACAAGTCCCCTGCAAACACAGCAAGAGAGGTGCATTTTTGCAAACAGGCTGTGCCTTGGCTTTGGCAGGGCTAAAAATCTGCTCTATGAACTGATTAACAAAAACCACCAAATCATCACATCTGCAAAAACCATAAATAACTTCACAATGTCAGAATTGTGACAAATATGGCTTAACAGGGAGGTCTCCTGATTAAAAAATACATATAACTCAAGAGTAACGGTATCCAAACTGAATGCAATTCTAGTGAAATCAATGGAAGCTGATATAATTATGCTTTGGACTAGGCCCAAAATGAAGGAAATAGGTTGATGAGACATCTAAAAGCTCCAAGTGGCAAAATAAAAGACACTTAGTCATTAGTAGTAATCAGTGATATTTAGCTCTCCACAAAGCAAACAGCAGGGAACTTAAACAAAAATAGTGCATTACACCTCCCCTACACAAGGATATCGTAGCCAAAGCGAATCACGTCATTCAGTTTTAACGTGATGTACTTCTGGTCAGGAATCCGCACGTCGTTCACGAATGTCTGTCAGGAGGAAGCACAGGCACTATGTTGATGGAAGGCATAAAGCTGACATGTTAAAATTCATCCAAGCAAGCCAATGGAACTGCTAAAACTAATGGAACGTGCATACAAATCCAAAGACACCGCACTCTACCCAACATTTAGTGAAAATGAAATGCAGTTTGGCAATGGCCGGAATGATATGCATTCTAGCTACTGAACTGAATTTGCTTTCACACAGCTACTGCTGAAAAAAAAACACTGAAAACAGAAAATAAATAAGAAGATCTTTTTTACATGGTGTGTAATTCACTTGTGGAACTTGTCACAGGAGGTCTCACCAGGAGTGGATGCAAGAACAGGGCACCCCATTCATTTTGGCTGCACCATGCATGCACAGTGAGCTCTGACCTCGCTGCCCAGGTAGTGCAAGCTCCTGCCAGAGCGTTGTGTGAGCACTGAGCTCTGACCTCACCAGCTAACAAGGGCAGGATCTGGCCAGATCCCCTGCTTCCACATGGTTCTGGAGCCCAAGGCATGACTGCTGCTGATGTTCACCTTCCCCTCCTCCTTTCTCTTGCTCCACTGAATTCAGCAACAGAGGAAAGAGAGAATTAGCAGTGGCAGTGTTCACACCCTGGGATCCAGAGTCCCACAAAATCAAGGGCTGGTCAAACCCCACACCAAGAGCTGTCACACAGCACAGCAAAGGAGGGTGCAACAATGCTGCTGCACCCACCCTGGATTTCACTGGGGCTAAGTAAACACAGTCAAAAAGCCCAAGGCTGAATCGATTCAGTCTTTGCAGGTTAGTATAAGGTGCATGGATTGAACTGATAAGCAAGTGAACAGACATTCACTTTTGATTCCAGAAATGCAGCCACATGCCTGCAGTGGTTCAAGCCAGAAGCCAGGGGGTGTTACAACAGCCTCCCTGCTCAGCTGGAGCAGACAGCTCAGGCACATCCACCCTGAAAGAAGGGATTTGTGGGGGTGGTGCAAAGCATCCTGGGCTGCTGGGGGACTTTGAGTTACTTGAATCTGGAGGGAACCTGGGACAGAAGTTCAATAAACCAGTTTAACCTAATTCAGTTAAATCTGATTGACTTTTATTAGTAGATGTTTAGGATTGTGAATCCAAAAAAGATGACAAAGCCGGTAGGGAAATACATAGCACCCGAGCAAGGGACTAACAATAGAAGGATGGGGGTGAGGAGGGGAACGACTACATCCATCCAGGTTTATTTTAAACTGGTTTGGGCCTTTCTGAAAGCAGTTTACATGCACTGAGCTTCTGTTGTGTTACAGATTTGAACTGGTTTCTGATCACCTATACTATTTTATATGTAATTTCTGTCCCTAGTGCAGAAACACCGGACAGAACTGGGAATACAACTCAGACCCCATGGCCACATCCAGACATGCAGCCATGTATGGTTTGTGGCACCACAAACCTCTTTGCGGTGCCACAAACTGCATGCCCAGAACATTAAAATGTGCCCCATGCTGCAAAGTTGCAGGGTGAGGGCAAAATTTGCTACCTGGATTTCCTAGTAGCAAAAAACGCCAAAAAAACCCCACCAAGAAAAAAGCAGTGTGGCATGATGCATGATACAATAGTGTGCACTGGAACAAACAGAGGCTTAGTCCTCCAGTTTGCCCAAAGCTGGAACTATTAGTGCTGCTGCAAGTGCACGCCCATGCACATCTGGATGTGGCCCATGAGTTCAAGACCATTCATGGTTAAGGCAATTATGCAGGGAACAAGCAATCAGGTAGGTCCTTCACAGTAAGTATAACCAGTTTTTATATGGCCAGTTCAAAATAAAAACAGATCACAAACTTATGCAAACAAGAGTAGACCTGCTGATGAGGGACTAGGCAAACAGCTGCCCTCAGATGGTCATTGGCAAAAATGAGGAGTTATCCGATATTCCAAGATAGAATTCATATAGCTACACAAACAGGAAATGAACAGCAGCTGTCTTCTGTTAGGTTTTGGGAGTGACAATACATTTACCACAGAGAATGTAGCCCTTTTTGGGTGCATGACAGTGAAATAACTGCTTGTGAAATAAGGGAAAAAAACAAGTCTGAGAAGTGACTTTGAAAAAACAAGCTGACTGATAAAAATGACGTAATACACCTGCAGCCCTGGGGCAACACTCTTCCCTCCTGCTCCTCTCTCAATGCTCCAGGTAAAATACTCCTGACAAGAACAAGTATTAAACTGAGAGAAATATTTATTGAAAGGTAGAGCTAGACCCTTGGCTGGTATATATATAGCAACAACATTCCACTGGTCTGGGAGCTAAATAATCCCATTAATGAAAATGTGGTTCAAAATGAACATTTACTCTCATTTTTAATCATTTTTACTTTGAAATTATTCTGCAATGCATCAGAAGTAGTGTATAAGGTTATCAGTATATCAAGCCAAGTCATAAAAAGAGAGAGAGAAAACATTCTATTTGATATTATTCCACCTAACTATACCCACCCACACTATATAGGACATTGTAATAATTATGGATTCAAAATTTTTGACCTAGAAATTAAAATAGTTCAATCTGCATTAAGTAAGGATACCCTGAAATAGAATAGAATAGAATAGCAAAAAAGAAAATCAAACTACATACATGAAATAGAATATTTTCACTATCAAATTTAAATTACTTGATGTGGTAGTACTTAACAAAGCTACTGACAAGTCTGAAATTAATTTTAAATATCAAATGAAAAGATATATATTTTTAATAAAAATTCCTTAGAAACAGTGTTTAGTTTTTTTTCTAAACAAAATTTCTTGAAAGGTAAAAATATTAATTGAAATTGCTATTATGCAAAAAATTCAGCTTAGTCCATTCATCTTTTTACAATAGAAAAGTGCTTTGACCAGCTCCGAAAAACTGGTATGTGGAAAAAGTTGAAAAACCCAGTACTTAGGTCACTACACAGATCGTAATTCTTCTAAGGCTAGCTAATTACATAATAATATTAATGACTACTAGTAGGGGTGCACCAATAAAGATGTTCTTGACTGATACCAATAGCCGATTATTAACCAGCCATATTGGCCGCTACCGATACAATAACCAATTTATAGGAATGTAGCTGCGCAGTGTGGAAAGCAGGTCCCTGCAGGTAAATTTGGCTTGGGAGGGCGGGGGGGCAGATCAAGGACACCGCATAGAAGGAGGAAGTGGGGCAGGGGCAGGGAGCGCTGCCCAGCCAAGGCGGTGAATGGGATGATGGAGCCATGAGCAGCTTGTCCAGGGGATCACTGTCCCGGTGCTTAAAAATTACAGTGGGGGTGCTTGAACTAAAACTTGTTGAATGAACTTCAGTTCAAGCGCT